GCGTGTAGATATGAAAAACATGGGACACGAGTACTTTATACATCCCGTCCTAAAGACGGCATATATCTTATCGTTAATATGACCATCCTAATAAATACAAATCGCATCCGGAATGAGAAGAGATTTATACATATTCGAGGGATTTCAAAGGGCAATAACCTTAGGGCATTGGGCAGCAGCAGGCATCCCACGGATATATCACAAAATCTTATGGTCCATTTTAGGTTAAGATGCATGTAGGTGGTGAGACTAAATGGGTATGGACAGCATAATGACGAGTACTCGACATGGCATGTGCTTCATTAAGGTAGGTATCAGGGCAATCTACATGTATACGATCTGCAAAAGCACAACTTTAGCCGCTAACAATCTCTGAAACTACGGGTGAAGCACTGTTATTTTCCAAATGACACTGAACTTGAGTGATGTAAATTTGACGACGTCAATTGATTAACACCATTCTAGAAACACTGCCGGTTGCCGACGTCGTTTGGAGTGATATTTCTCCATATTTCATCAGAACAATCTTATGTTATGACTTCAGAACATAAGGACTGCCTCCGCCACTTCACTTCTCACGACAAAAGAATTCATGGCGTCCAACATCCATACAAAAACATTTCTGTTCAAGATGAACACCTTTGTTCTTCAACGTAGATACCTGCGGCATCATACATTCATATCGCAATGCAGATCCTACTTTGCCCACTAAAACAAGCACTAAAGGAAAGACTTGAGCTTACGAATCGTCGGCTCAAACTGTTTCTTACCTGCTTCCCTTACCTCTGACTGCGCACTTCTGAGCTCAGCACCCGGGACGATGAAGGCAGCAGGACGGTGTTCCTTCTCGCTGTAGTGTCTCCGTCAGTCTGAAGGACCAGGGCTCTGTCGCCTCCTTTTAAAGGCTGCACCACTCTGCGTGTGCGGAACAGCTAAGAACTGCGTGGGATGTCACATTAAAGACAGGAGAAAGTGGGGACTGTTCTTACGTGTTTTGTGACACCGTTCTAGTCACATGACCTAGACAGTGTCTGGAGTCTTGCTTTGAGACAAAAGTTGCACGGAAATGGCACACGAATACGTGGCTATATTTCTTTATTTTTTCCTCGACGCCGTATTAAGTACAGTGTTCCGGAAGTTATGAAAAAAAAAGATATATAAATTGGATCCTTTGGGACATTTAGACTACGAAGAGCTCCAGCAAACAATAGTTCAAGATGAGTAGACACAACTGCTGAGAAGAAGTGAATGAGAGGTGATTTCCCAATACATCCAATTTAACGTCATACGCCACCTGATTCGGATTGAGTTGGAAAGAGTTGCTCGTAGCTAAGTACGGAAGCGTGGCCAGGTCATTATATAATGTAACCTGAAGAGAGATAAGACTGCGAATTGAACTTCATTCTTATAAGAGGCTGTCAGAATTTTTC